TCCTCCACTATCATTTCGCCTTCGCAACAAACCCCAAAAACAAACTCTTGTTGTTGTTATTGTTGTTGTTGTTGTTGTTAGGTATTTTACCCCCACAAAAATTCTTACAAAAACATTGTTCTTCTTCTTCTTCTTACAAAATCAATTTCTTTTTCTTGTCGTGTAGGATTATCCCACCTCCGTTCTTACATTTTTTCCTTTAATCTTGGTGTTACTGCTCGATTCTGAATAATAGAGGAGAGGGAAGCGAGTCAATGATCAAAAAAATCTAAAAAAATTTTGATAAACAAGAAAAGAAAAAAAGTTTTCTCAGCATGGCTCAGGTTCCACCTCAACCTCAAGTTCCCAACTCCGGCGCCGACCCGGCTGCCAATGGAGGCGGACAGCATGTGACGACGTCGTTGTATGTTGGAGATCTTGACGTGAACGTCACCGATTCCCAGCTTTATGATCTTTTTAATCAGGTGGGACAGGTGGTTTCTGTTAGGGTTTGCAGGGATTTGACGACCCGTCGATCGCTTGGTTATGGCTATGTCAATTACAGCAACCCAGTGGATGGTTAGTCATGGCCTTATAATCTGTATTGCCTAATTGTTGTTCGTTCTGTCCTTTGAATATATGTGTTGACATATTGGGTCTTTGTTCCCGTTTGCTGTTTTGTTATGGAGTCTTTTTTGTACAGCCCCCTCCACATTTTACGAATTATGACCTCTTATTGCTCGCATGATTTTGAGAAAAACACAGCATGTCTGCTTTTCTTGTCTTGTTGATGTCTTAATTATATTCATATGCGAGGAAACAATTCGTAACTAGTCTTTAATTTCATATTATTGATGCTGTAGGATTCTTGTAGTTAGCAAGATCTATGGTGGTTGAATCTGGATTGTTGTTTCTCGTTTCTTTGATTTTTAATTTGGGTCATTCAGAAGTTATTGTGATATGTTGATTGTAATGTTGGGTGCTGAAGGAATGGAAGATTTTTTGGTTTATTTGGTTGAATCAATATTATCACGTTCTTAACTTCTGCTTGGTTTTGTTTTCTCTTGTATCATTTGAAGAATTATGTGTTATTTTTTCATTTTTCTTTCCTCCTCGACTTCATGTCAGCTTCAAGGGCATTGGATGTGCTAAACTTCACCCCTTTGAATGGGAATCCTATTAGAGTCATGTATTCGCATCGTGACCCTAGCATGCGGAAGAGTGGGTCTGGAAATATTTTTATCAAGGTTAGTACTGTAGCAAGATCTTTGTTTTCTTGTCTCAATGGCATGGTTGCTAGATGTTTTGACGTCATGCTACTCTTAAATGATAGAATTTGGACAAGGCAATTGATCACAAAGCGTTGCACGATACATTCTCTGCATTTGGAAACATTCTCTCCTGCAAGGTTGCTACAGATTCGTCTGGGCAGTCTAAAGGCTTTGGTTTCGTACAATTTGATACTGAGGAAGCTGCCTTAAAAGCTATAGAGAAGTTGAATGGTATGCTGCTCAACGACAAGCAGGTGTTCGTGGGACCGTTCCTTCGCAAGCAAGAAAGAGAAAGTGTCAGTGAGAAAACAAAATTTAACAATGTTTTTGTTAAGAATTTAGCAGAAACTACATCTGAAGAAGAATTGAGGAATATGTTTGGGGAGTTTGGACCAATTACCAGCGTTGTGGTCATGAGGGATGGGGAAGGAAAATCAAAATGCTTTGGCTTTGTGAACTTTGAAAATGCGGATGATGCTGCTAGATCTGTTGATGCTCTCAATGGACACAAGGTTGATGGGAAAGAGTGGTACGTTGGAAAAGCCCAGAAGAAATCTGAAAGGGAAGTTGAACTGAAGAATCGATTTGAGCAGAGTGTAAAAGAAGCTGCTGACAAGTATCAAGGTGCAAACTTATATGTTAAGAATCTAGATGATACCATTGACGATGATAAACTGAAGGAGTTATTCTCTGCGTTTGGAACCATTACCTCATGCAAGGTTGTAAGGACTAAGTATGTTTTGTAGTCTTAAATCCTCCAGTTGACTGTTAAGAAATGACTTGATCCTTTACGTACCTGCAGGTTATGCGTGATCCCAATGGACTGAGTAGAGGGTCTGGCTTTGTTGCGTTCTCAACTCCTGAAGAGGCTTCTAGAGCTGTGAGTTACATTATCGTGCACAAGAATATTGTTTAGATTATTCTCGATATATGGATGACTGTCGCATCACTGTTAATTATCCATGAAATTCTTCTTATCTATTTCTGTTATCTGATAGCTTGGAGAGATGAATGGAAGAATGATTGTGAGCAAACCTCTTTATGTTGCACTTGCACAGAGGAAGGAAGATAGAAGAGCTAGGTTGCAGGTATGTCTGTACTAATTATTTTGTTTTCAAGTCTGAAATAGTGCTGTTCTTTTTCATTTTCGAAACATTAAGTCATTTGCCTATGTTTATTTATCCGTTGACATCGTCTGTATCTTATCTATGTGCATCCTCAGGCCCAGTTTTCCCAAATGCAGCCAATGGCAATGGCATCTTCAGTTGCTCCTCGTGGCATGCCGATGTATCCTCCAGGTGGTCCAGGTATCGGACAACAAATATTTTATGGACAAGCTCCACCTACTATTATTTCATCACAGGTAACTTATTTTTTTTCTCCAAAAAGAAACCTAGATCGTCGTGGTTTGCATTAAAACTATTATTTTCTTCGTCATATGTCTTGTTCAGTTGAAGGGGTTGTAAATTGTGACTGCATATTAATCATTCTTTGAATTCTTTCAGCCTGGATTTGGTTATCAGCAGCAACTCATGCCTGGAATGAGGCCTGGTGGAGGTCCGATGCCAAATTTCTTTGTGCCAATGGTTCAGCAGGGCCAGCAAGGTCAAAGATCTGGTGGAAGGCGAGCTGGTGCTATTCAGCAAACCCAGCAGCCTGTTCCAATGATGCAGCAGCAGGTTGGTGTTGTTTTTTCTGCCTTATTTTTTCCCCTCATGACCATGATTGCTTGTTCTAATCAAGTCACTAATGGCGTATGTTTGTTTACCTAAAAGATGCTACCAAGAGGACGTGTCTACCGTTATCCTCCTGGGCGTGGACTGCCTGATCTTCCCATGCCGGGTGTTGCTGGAGGTATGTTCTCTGTTCCATATGAGATGGGTGGAATGCCACCGCGGGATGCTGTCCACCCTCAACCAGTTCCTGTTGGCGCTTTGGCTTCTGCCCTTGCAAATTCAACTCCAGACCAGCAGAGAACGGTAGGGTTTTAGATCCAATTCATCAGTAATTTTCCCCCTTAAATCTTGAATGATGATATACTTTGTTGGGGTGGTAATTTTGCTTTCGATGCACACGCTACTAAACACATGAGCGTAGAAACTACAGATATGGGTCTAAGATGAAAATTATATAACTTGGCCACATTCTGATCCTGTTGGCTGGTCTCTGTTGTGTTTCATGTCATAACTTAGCTTGGTTTGGTTGGTTTCCAGATGCTTGGGGAGAACCTTTATCCACTTGTGGAACAGCTAGAGCCTGATAATGCGGCCAAGGTAACAGGCATGCTATTGGAAATGGACCAAACTGAGGTTCTGCACTTGCTCGAGTCACCGGAAGCTCTGAAGGCGAAGGTTGCCGAGGCCATGGAGGTTTTAAGAAGTGTTGCTCAGCAGACGGGCAATGCAGCTGCTGATCAGTTGGCTTCATTATCCCTGACTGACAACCTTGATTCCTAAACTGAATGTTGCCCTTGTGTTTTTTTAATGAGCTGCAAACCTTTCTTCTACTTGGTGCTTTTATTATTGACTTTGAGATGGGAAGTTCCAACTATTTTTGTTCGAACCGAGTGATTTCTATTACTGCTGGCAATGATTGTGGAACCTATGCTGCTAAGTTTTGATATGATGAAGCTTGTTGCTTTCATTAACACTTCAAATGCGCTATGGAAGTTCAAACTTACTTACCTTTTATGAGTTTCAGTTGAATTGAATGCTACAAATCTTACTCTTGTGATTGTAATATAATGTGTAAGTTGTTGACTGAGTCATATAGTCTAAAATTAATTTAATAATTTCATAATTAATTTCATCGAATGAAAGAAATTGTAGTTGTTGACCGCCAATATTGTTTTCTTTGGGCTTTTCTGTTTGGGCCTCCGCTTTAAAACGTTAGAGGACGGTTTCTACAACTTAATAAATGGGGGTTTGTTCTCCCCAATCAATGTGGGACATCACAATCCACCCCCTTCGGGGTGTTAGGGGACGGTTTCCACAACCTTATAAATGGTGGTTTGTTCTCCTCCCCAATCAACATGGAACATCACAATCCACCCCCTTCGGGGCTAGCATTCTAGTTGAGACTCTTTCCTTCTTCTAATCAATGTGGGATTGCCCCCAAATCCACCCCCTTTGGGGCTCAGCGTTTTTACTGGCACACCGCCTCGTGTCTACCCCCTTTAAGGAACAGCGAGAAGGGTGGCACATCGTCCGGTGTCTGGCTCTGATACCATTTGTAACAGTCCAGATCCACCGCTATCAGATATTATTCTCTTTGGGCTTTCCTTTTCGTGCTTCTCCTCAAGGCTATAAGCGTCTCTCCTTTTCGTGCTTCCCCTCAAGGCTATAAGCGTCTCTCCTTTTCGTGCTTCCCCTCAAGGCTATAAGCGTCTCTCCTTTTCGTGCTTCCCCTCAAGGCTATAAGCGTCTCTTAGGGGAGAGGAAGGTTTTCACACTCTTATAAATGGTGGTTTGTTCTCCTTCCCAACCAATGTGGGGGTCAATGTTCTAGTCTACCTATGTAACGGCCCAAGCGTTGTGGACCCGTAATAATAATGGATAACTTTTGACCTCTCTAGGATTTTAAGACACGATTTAAAATTATGAAGCTGACAATAATACGTAACAAACCAAAACAGACAATATCCGATAGCGGTGAGTTTAGACGGTCACAATCTTAATATTTAATTACATAATTTATGTAACATAAAATATATATGCCTTTTCTAAAAGATTTACATCTTTCACTCCCTCGTAAATCATAGAAAGCCCTGTATTCGAAATTTCATAGACATAACATCGTGCAGCTAGAAAGGCGAATGAATGGAAATGTGTGGATCTTAAGAGAGATAGCATATGCACATACCAAAAAACTGACTATAGCCCAATTTGGGGCCTCAAAACCATCAAACACAGCCGAGACATTGAAATAAATATACATTGTATCAGTTAGCAACAACATGTCTCTGCCGCAATCCTTCCCCAGCTGCTGCTGCATGGGCGGTGCCCAGCAGAACATCTTGTGTCTCGGACGAAGTCCCCACATCTCTTTGCTTCTCTCCAGAGTCTTCACCGAAGTTATGGAGTCGACGACCGATGAGATAACGATCGTCGCGAATGGAATTGTGAAGGTTGGTGAACCATACATGAAATCTCTTGGCACAAAAACACAACATGCTAACACAAAGGCATCCAATCCAAGCAAATCGATAAACAGCTGAGTTGACAATCAGCGGGTAGCCGAGCACAGGAAACACTCCTCTAGCTAGTACGTACGGTACGCATAGTGCTGTCAGTAGCTTCATTATGATTGGAACAACTATTTCCCTCAAAACCCAGAACCCTTGCAGCCTGGAGAAGCCATCTTCTCTAACTCTTTCAAACTTCACTCTCCAACTATCATCCACCAGAGGTATCATATGATCTAACATTACCTGTTCAAGAAGGGGAAGTGGAATCGTAATGCACATATTTGTAGGATCAAAATGACCGAACAGAAATTTTCATGTATCGTTCTGTGTTCTTGGGGGTCCTTACCAGTCTAGTCCAGATCTTAAGAAAAATTAAGCCCAATGCCCAGTCCTGATACAAGAGGAAAACTGGGCTTTCATCCACTGGAACTCGCATAGGCACAATGACCAGAAGCTCAAATAACAAGCCAATCAATACTGGAATGAGGAAGATCTGAAAACCACAAGTATGTCAGATTCATGGAATCAAGAAATCCTTACAAGTTCAAGCAAAATTGATATAAAAGTAATCTTTTTCTGCATTTTCCGTGTATATATTACTGCCAATCTCACCCAAATTGACAGAAGTGCAGAACTCTTGACGACAATGGCAAACCATTTCCATATCTGGCCCAATAAAACAGTCACCCTCCTTGCTTTAACATATTCAATGGAATATCTGGCACCAGCTATCACCGTCCAAATAACGTAGCTCCCGATGACAAAAGCATACATATCTATGTAAAGGAAAGACATACAACAAGTCAGAATTTCTCCTAAAAGGATTTGTAATTAACATAATGTGGAAACTGACGGTAGGTAATCGCACCGTTGCACTTGATACCATGTGTGATGGGAAGAAGCGGAATGGCGTTGAAAAGTGCCCGTCCAAGTGATGTTGGTACCACTATCAATGCTGAGTTGAAGACAAGAAGAGTCATCCATGCCACAACCAACAAAAGGACAATGCGGAGAGCGAAGCTATACCTCCTAAAATCCAAACAAGTTAAATAACTAAATCTTAGAAATACGAACATACCCGATAATAACTAAATCTGCAAAACAGCATATAAAAACCAAGCACAAGAAATGGTTCAAAAGAAGTAAACTAAATTATGACAATGGATTCACCATGGTTTTAAGTAGAAATGAAAAGCCCATGCAACAAACAGGAGAGAGAAAAATGAGCAAGACTGCAATTACAATGCTCATCTCTCCTGCAATTATAATGTTCATGCTTGGAGCAAAGAACTTTGAACTTACTCTGAATCAGACTGCTCTTCGTTATCATACTCCTCGTTAGTCAAGTTCCCAGATGCAGGAACAACTTGGTTTGGCTCGTTAGCTGCGGCATGGGCCACCAAAGCCTGTTCCAGGGCACCTAGACGTACCACCTGCAGTTCTTCTTGCAACCCAGGCTGCTCTCCATTCCCATTTTCCTGGCCAACGTTTTCTTCAGTTCTGGGAAGTAAATAATCTGTTAATCCAAGGGCCCAACCAACCACAGTAAACCAGCAGTGGAGAAGGGATTTGATTGTTGTTCTCAATTTAAAATGCTCAATAGCAAAAGGAATGCAGATTTGAAAGAGAAGCATGTCAGCTGGAATCTCTGTGAAGGGGTCCGATACCCTGCCACGAAAATGGTCATGAAAATAAGATAACTGCCAACAGATTCCAAGTTACAACGTAAAACTGCAGCTTACAAATAAGCATTGCTCAAGTATTACAATAATCTTACGATATATCAAGAGGAAAAATGGAGGGAACCATCCTCATAGCAAGTTTGACAGGTAAGAACACCAGCATTACAATTAAACTTCCATACACTGCAACAGATAGAAGAACCCTGCGAGCATGCTTGTGCATTGGATCATCAATTAAATCTCGGAAAGGATTATAATTTGGATCAGCTGGATCACGAAGAAAATACAAAACTCCACTGCGCAAAACCTATAAAATTGTTGACAAAAGATAATGAGTAAACTGGCATAGCCATTATTGATGAACAAATAACCAAAAATTAGAAGAATGAAAGATATAAATACCCCTCGAAGAAGATTGACAAATATGCTTATTTGTAGCATATATACAATGCCAACAGCCCAGTGAACCAATGAGCTTGCTAGAGGAGAAATTGAAAAGAACTGAACGCGCTGAGCCATTGACTTTCCAAACATCCTAACAGTACAAATGTCAAGCCACCAACCACACATCAAGGGAAATACCCCAAGTTCTATGACCAAAAGGAAAGCAACCTTAACCATGGTCATCAAATGCCTCATCGCTGCCATGAACTGCCTAAGGAGAGAGGGGATGGCTTCGGCGACAGATGCGATGCCATACAACCTTCCCATAGTCAAAGGCTCTCCTCGAGTATATCGAATCAAAGCAATAGTCCCAAGATAGAAGAAAACTAAAGAAAATATAAATATGTAGCCTACAGCAAGAGTTGTAACATCAGAAAGCCTCGATGTTCCAGTAGCTGCCCGTTCCAAAAGATCCACCGAAAGTGGAGCAGTTATGTTGTTTGAGACATTGTTTAGTGTACTGGAGTTGACTTTCAACATTTCTGCAACCTGATCAAGTAGACCACTTTCTTTACCATCTGATGACAAATTTGCAACAGCTGTCAATGCATTTTTCAATGTGATATTTGCCAAGGAGAGAGCTGACTCCGTAAATGGCATCACCGTCGAGAAAACTGGACCACTGGCTGAAGAGAAAAGCCATGATATGTAATGAAGTATGATCCGACCTAATGTAAAGGGCACAAAGATAACAACACCAAGAAATATCATATTGCTGGCTAAAACCTGCAAAGAAGTGGAACCAATTAGATATTACAACTCGATAATGTTCAAGTCAATGAAAAAATATGAGAGAAATGAATGACGTTTTAATTTCTCTGAACGAGAAGGACAAGATATCACCTCCGAAAAAAACCAATATGCATGTAGTTGCCATGAGTTGAGAACAAATATACATATGAAATAATACTTAAACATAACAGTTCACTGTCCAATGATCCAAAGAAAAATGTTGCAGCACACTTAACTGTGAATGCGTTCTCAACTAAATGAAACACAGGACCCTGCATGCCAACAAGCTCATCGAAAGGCACATCTTCTGCACCATCAGCATCATCCACATCAAAAATCTGTTCGACATGAGCCTCAAGACGAGCAGCTTGCATCTCCCACCGAGCAGCAACATTTTCCGCATTCCTCCTAATTATTTGACCTGCTCCAGCAAGGACTTGGCCTCCACCCGCATCTTCACCATTTGCATCACCAGCAAAATTTCTATTAGCTTGTCCCAGAGGTCTTCTTACAGCACGAGCTCCATTTCTATCTGCATCATCTTCTCGCTCGCCCTCCGGACCTCCAAGCTCCCGTAAATGCCTGAAGTAATCTCTCAAGGAGGTAGCTCCAAGAAATATAAATACAATGCTAGCAGAAAGTAGGAAGCCATGAAGACAATCAGTAAGAACAACGGTAGCAGACAAGTGACTCAAGAATAATCTCTGGGCTTCCCCAAAACTCCTCACGAAAGCCAGCCGCCATATCCAAAACGTAATGAAAGGTATGATGAGGAGCCAAACAGAAAGCACAAAACTGAGACGTAAAAAGAATTGCAGGACATGGCAAGCTTTCATTGCTATTCCAAAAATAAATTCCTGAAAAGGTAGCCTTGATGGAGCATTCTCAGCATAAACAGGGGAGAAGGAAAATGCATGTTTGCAAACCTGCCACATGTGAAAATATATGTAAACTGCCATGAGAAAGGCAGATATAAAACTTATTCTTGAATCATATAAACCGAGAACAACAGTTAATATGACACAAAATATGCAAAAGAAAAATGAATACCTCACAAAAATCAGCTATCTACTAAGCCCATATCACTCTATGGCAAAACATTATCAAACAACAATTAAAGTTCCAGATGTATTTTTCATCTTAGAAGTCCTAGCGAAGGGAGCACTAACTACTAAGCACATACTTTTCCAGAAAATGAACCATAAAAGGGGCACGATTTCTTTTAGTCTTTTGGGAGAACATATATACCCCATCTATAAACAGAACGAAAACCTTTCTATAATATGTCAACGAAGTGTGTAAAATTGCACCAGTTCACAAATCACTCTTTCACCCACGATCAAATAACTTTGTTTAAGAGATTCAGGTCGAATTTCCACAGGTCTAAATCTGTTCCAAGTTCATTCAGTAACTCGCTAATGTCATCCCCAATATCGCTCCCATATAAGAAGTCCCAAATGTTTCTCTCCACACAGATAATTCGAAAGGTCCCTAAAACTCACCCAAAAAACGTCACTGAATCCAATAACTAACCAAACAAGAAACAGGCATGAAGAAAAGAAAACGAACCTCGCACTGACGGGCGTTGCTGTGATTCAGCCATTGAAGGAGACAATCCTGGTGAACAAACTTGATGCTGCCGCTGCAAGCGCAAGGATAACTTAGCGGATTATCCGCATCTCTAGGGTTCCTACAGATCCGGCAGACGTCCTCTTCCTCTTCATCATCGTCATACTTAGGTCCGGGAAAAGACGTGGACAAGTTCGCCTCTTTCCCTGGTACAGAATCCGGCGACGAAGACGATGCTTGAACTGCATCAACAGAAGCGGCATCGTTAACAGCATCTCTGTCGATCGAAGACGCGGCCACCGGCGCAATCTCCATTGCTAGGTGACGGTGTAAACGAAGGCACGAAGGACCACCGCGAGTCGCCGAAATAAGGCAGCTTAAAAGTCGTCGGAGCCGATGACGTACTTCTTCCCCCGTATTCCGCAGGGCCTCGCCGAAAGGGAGAAGAAGAAAGTCTCGAAGAAGTGAAGGTTGCTTTATTCCAATCTTGCCCTCATAATAAAGGGTTTTATTACCCTTTTACCCCTGCTTCACTTATTTAATTTCAGACAAGGTCGGTTGAGTGAAACTACGTCGTTCAGATGGTCAGACTTAGTTTTAATTATATAAATTTTTTTAGATGTTCTTAACTTGAAACCATTTAATTTTTAATTTCTAATTTTAAATTTTGTTATTATTTTTTTTTTTAAAATTTGAAATGATTCTAAAAAATTAATAAAAATTAAGGTATGCATAGTATTATTTACTAAATCATATTATTATTTATTTTATCCCAAAAAAAACATTTTAAAATTTATTTATAATATCCATTTAATTGTACGTTAATACAAGCCATTTTCGTTTCAATCTATATCTATATAAATGATTAATACAAAATTAAATATAGTCAATAGTCAACTATCATACACTATTTCGTCTCGAATGTTGTCGCTGCTGTTTTCATTTCGAGCAAGACATTTTCAAGGCATTCAGCAAGAAATTCAGGATCGGGAATGATATCTTTCGCCACTAGAATTTGCATTTCAGCTCTTCCAGCATAGCTCACCATATGCATCGTAATTGTCTGCATCAAGAAAAAATGAGTTTTTAAGCCCTTAGAAACACTTTTTTTTCATTAAAACAAGCCAAATAAAGGGCTAGTACATGGGGCAAGCTTGTTGAAGTGCTTCTAATGTATGTAATGGGATTGCCTCCAATGGTAATCTCTTCTCTTGGGCCAATCACATTGGAGATGGTGAAACTTGTATTGCAAACAATCCTATAATTAAGGATGGAAGCTACCTGCAACAAAAAAATGTGCATTAAACATCTCAAAATAATAGTAATAAAAAATCTTTGAGTCAGTCTGTACGATTATACTTTTGGTCCCAAACATGACATTATGAACTTGCCAACTCCATATGAAAAATGAGCTTCAAAACTACGTTTTTTTCGGTCAAGCATCTTCTTTGTTCTCATGACACATTGAAGAGGATCAAGTGTTTTCTTCTCGTAGTTCACGGGAAGGAGAAGAATCCCTAACTTATTACCCCATCCAAATCCCCTATTTCCTTTCATCATTTCAGTTAATTCCTACACCATATACATTATAACGAGTTAACAATTATGAAAGAATAGAAAATCCTCATACAAATAGGTTTTAACAAATATTTTAGATAACCTGTAATCCCCGTTGTTCTCTAAGGTTAACCATAGCTACTCCGGTTAACTGAAGCCCTTCTTTCAAACCTACAAATAAAAGGTAAAAGTTGGCCATACGTATTTGATGATAATTACTCATTGTAACCATATTTTATAAACTCATATTTTAACGGAGGCAAATTAAAAAGTTGCAAAATTAACTAAACATATAGGAGACTCTAAATAGTTGGAGCAAAATTGTGGAGTTTGAAGGACAAAGAGAAACTTACCCTTGGGTTGCCTATGCTCCAAGTATCTCGATAAGCCTGCTCCGATCACGCTGAAAAGAACATCGTTCATTGTCTGCAACCATAACTTCAACTCCTTATACGCAATTTCCTTTTATCAACTAATTTACTTAAATCTAAATGAGCTAAGTTATAAAAAACTAAAATGAGTGATAGTTAAAGAAATTTTATATTTGGACATAAAAAGTATTCCTTTTGTTGGATGAAAGTCTCACATCCACTAATTTAGGAAATGATCATGAGTTTATAATAAAAAAAATACTGTCTCTATTAGTATGAGGTCTTTTTGGGAACCTCAAAGCAAACATATAAGAGCTTATGCTCAAAGTCAACAATATCATACCATCATAGAGAGTCGTGTTCATCTAACACCTTTTATGAACACACATATGTTGTCTAGCTTTTTGATAACTTGAACATCTTCTATGACTTTTTTTCCTTTTTTAAATAAAAATAAGGAAAAATAAGGGTGTACATTGAACCCGACAACCCAAACTGAATTATAGGGGTTGAGTTGGGTTAGCTGAGTTAATTTTCTAAATCTAAATAGAATCGATTCGAGTTTAGGATTCATTTTCTAAACTTGAACCGTATTAAGTGAAAGACTTAGCTGGGGATCACTTTCATCAATAAGTGAACATATTTAAAAAAAATGCTTCTTCCTAATTTTGATTTTATATATATAGACAAACATAAATATATATTCAGCCACAATTAAATCAAATCCAAATGAGAACAACAAAGTTTCAATTAGATAGACTTGTTTCCAGAAACAGCAAGAATCAACACCTATAAAAGCATTCAGTTGAACTAAAAAAATTTATGCTTTTTAGTTCAACATGTATACATATAGTCAGACAAACATAGATATATACATTCACCACACAATTAAATCAAAACCAAATTAGAACAACAAAGTTTCAATTAGGTAGGGTAGGCCCACTTCCCAAAACTACAAGAATCAAAACCTATAAAAGCGCTAACTTGAACTAAAAAAGTTGTGTTCTACCACAATTTGCAAAATTGAACTATGAAAATAAATAAATAAATATATATATATATATATATATATATATATATATATATCACGACTGATACTATGTTAGGAATTACGACTCTCTACTATGGTATGACATTGTCAACTTTGAGCATAAGCTCTCATGATTTTACTTTGGACTTCCCGGTCTCTTACCAATAGAGATATGTGTTCATTCCTTAAATTAGCCAATGGACTCCCTCCCAACAATCCTCAACAAAATATCTATATCTATATATATACAAAGGACATAGATATATACATTGAACTATGAAGATATATGTATATATCACTACTGATACTATGTTAGGAATCACGACTCTCCACAATGGTATGATATTATCCACTTTGAGCATAATTTCTTATAGTTTTGCTTTAGGGGATTTCCCAAAAGGTCTTGTACTATTGGAGATGTGTTCCTTATTTATAAACCCATAATCATTCTCTAAATTAAGCCAACTAAAACTCCCTCTCAACAACCCTCATCAATATATATAGACAGACATAAACATATACAATCAACTAGATAGCACACAATTAAATCAAATACCAAATTAGAACAATAAAGTTTCATATAAGTTGATACATAAATAAAAAGTAAAATTTATCATACATTAAATTAAATTTAGTTCAAATGACAAAAAAAAAAAAAAAAAAAAAAAAAAAAAAAAAAAAAAAAAAAAAAAAAAAAAAAAAAAAAA